CTCAAAGGCTTCTAAATGTTGCTGTTGTTCCATCCCCTGATTCAGATTATGCTTTAAATCAGCCTATTGCAGCTTGTTTATCCGACTGGAATCTGGAGAGAAGGCTTTCCAGTCTCACTGTTGGGCAATCAGTAGTAAATAAAAACTCTATTGAAAACCTCAGATGCTGTTTGTCTGCCAGGAACCAGCATGTAATGAATGGTCAGTTGTTGCTGGGGAACTGCTATGCCCGCCTCCTAAGCAGTATGGCGCAAGATTTGCTTGGAACTGAGGATCTTCAAACACCCATAAAAAAAGTCCGTGATAGCGTGAAGTATGTGAAAACCAGCGACAGTTGCGGAGAGAGGTTTGATGAACTGAAGAGACAACTTCAGTGTCCTTCTACAAAAGATCTCCTCATTGACAACCAAACAAAATGGGACACAAGTTACAACATGTTATTGGCTGCCTGCGAACACAAAGAAGTGTTTTCTTGTCTGGGAAACTGTGATCTTGATTATAAAATCTCAACATCTCCTGAGGAATGGGGAAAGATCGAGATTCTTTGCTCGTGCTTGAAGATTCTTTTTGACGCGGCTAATGTTTTGACTCGCCCTACCCTATTGAAAGCAAATGAAATGTACCATGAAATGACAAAGCTTCAGCTAGATCTAAGCCACGCGGCCATGAGTGAAGACCCAGATGTCAGAAACCTGGCAAACCCACTGAAAGAGAAGTTTGACGAGTACTGGAGAGGATGCTTCCTACTTCTGGCAGTTGCTGTGGTGATGGATCCGCGCTTCAAGATGAAGCTTATTGAATTTGGTTTTTCTAAGGTATACGGAGAAGATGCAGAAAAATGGATCAGGAATGTTGATGATGCTGTACATGATCTGTACCATGACTATGCTGAGCAGAGTCACTCCCTGCTGGATGCTTATGTGGACCACGGGAATGATGGCTTTGTTGACACAGATATGTCTCAAGTTCACTTCCATCATGAAGCGCCTCATGAATACCATCATTCAAATGGGGTTTCACATGATCAAACATACGAGCAGCCTGAAGATGGCAATCCACTGAATGAAAAACCGAAAGACCATGTTGTAGACGGTCAGGAGTCTCAAGAAGTTGCTCAGACTCAGGTAAACCAACTGTCAGTAGAAAAGTCCTTACCCCATGCCCAAGAAGAGAAAACTGCAGAGCCTCTTCTCCAGGAAGATCAGTCAGGTGGGATGGGACCACAGGAGAATCAGCCTATGGAGGGAATATCTGAAGAAGGTCAGCAAAAGGGGACAGTGTCTGTGGGAGGCAATAATACCACACAAGGATTAGAACAAGAAGGCCATTTGGTAGATGCAGGTACAGAGGAGAACCATATTGTGGAAGGGCTGTCGGGAGATAGCAAGCCGATGGAGGGACTGACACAAGATTCTCTTTTGCGAGAAGAAAATCTGCAAGCCAATGGGGAGCCAACTCTGGCCCAGCTAACAGATGAGGTATCCCATGAGAGCCAGGCAATGGAGGAAACACGCCATGCGACCCAATCGGCTGAGGAGGTGGCCCATGAGACCCAGCTGGTGGAGGAATTTCCATGTGAGGGCCAGCCAGAGGAAGYAA